TTAGTGTGGAAACTCGAAGTAAAGTTATTGTGGTTTGTTACAGCCACAGTCATGCTAAACACTCGCATTTGCATAGTTTGTTCATGGTCTCTCTCAAAACCATTTACTCTGGAGTTTCAGCACCAAATCCCAGGGGATTATGGGGTATTTTACTGGGCTTGCTGTGACTGATCCAAGCTTGATGTTACTGAATTTTTCCAAACAACGTGGAGCCAAATGGAGGATTGTCTTAATCAGATTTAATGTTTATTCTCTGCACTGACCACTGAGACATATTCCTCAACCAGCATCACTTCAATACCAGCATGTTTAACAAAAGCAATATCATACTACACACAAAAAAAACAACTACAATAACATTTCTGGAAGTTTTAATGACAGTGAGTCAGTGGTTCTTTATTCAGACACCCCTATTTGGCCAATTCATTTTGTCATAAACAATCCTTCATATCCCATTAGAAGATTTCTCCGTAATCATCCAAGTGAATCTTTTCCCAGATTGAGTGATTCAGTTCAACGTTTGTTAGTCTGATTTAAACAATGCCTCTTTTTACCCAAATATCTATCATTTGTTCATGAAAAATATGTTTGATCATATTTTAATGTTTTTTCAAAGTTTATAGTGTTTATTCCGGTCATATGTTCAGCAAATGATTCAGAGAGTCATTTGATTCAAAAGAGTCGGCCTTTTAGTTCACATTCATTCATTCATTCATTCATTCATTTTCTTTTCAGTTTAGTCCCTTTATTAATCTAGGGTCGTCACAGCGGAATGAACCGCCAACTTATCATGCATATGTTTTACGCAGCGGATGCCCTTCCAGCTGCAACCCATCGCTGGGAAACACCCACTCATTCACACACATACATTACGAACAATTTAGCTTACCCAATTCCCCTATAGCGCATGTCTTTGAACTTGTGGGGGAAACCAGAGCACCCAGAGGAAACACACGCGAACATGGGGAGAACTTGCAAACTCCACACAGAAACGCCAACTGACCCAGCCGAGGCTCAAACCAGGGACCTTCTTGCTGTGAGGCGACAGCACTACCTATTGCGCCACCGCATCGACATCATATTTAAATGTTTAGTCAGACTGTTCTTCTATTCTAGCCACTCTGAATACTTTCGTTCTGGTTTTCTGCAGTAATGCTGTTATATTCAGCGTGTTTTCCTTCTGCTTTCCCGTTTTCAAGATGTTTCGATGTTCACAGCTTCAAACCTACATGCCTGTGAAATTTTATATGCGTGTAAACCTTTGCACTGCGTCAAGTCATGCTTCCCTATAAAAGTGTGCTGGTTCTGCAGCGTGTGCAGTCACTGTACGCCATGCTGAAAGCTGCACACACACACACACATGTGGCTCTGTTTCCTTCAGTCGTAACACAGCCTCTGGAAGTCTTCCCTTGGCACGTCCCGGCGCATGTCGCAGGAGGAACGTTTAGTTTTTGGGAACAGCTGCAGCTCTGGACGGGGCCTCTGGATGTGTGCGGTGATGGGCCGCTGCGGCTCCACATATCAGGAGGTCAGCAGGGATCAGCAAATGTGACGCTTTGGTGAAGGGCTGAAAAATCTGACGTTGCGATATGAGAATTTTCTGTGATAAATGTTGCGATATGAATGCCAGGGAGTCCGCTGGGTCTTAAAAACTCCTAAAATGTCTTCAAGTTCAAATCTAAACGTCTTAAATTCACTAAAAGAAGGTCTTCGTACATTCATTCGGCTTAGTTCCTTATTTATCAGTTGTTTTATGCAGCGGATACCCTTCCAGCTGCAACCCAGTACTGGGAAACACCCATACACACTTATTCACACACACACTAATACGCTACAGCCAATTTAGCTTATTTAATTCCCCTATAGCGCATGTGTTTGGACTATGGGGGAAACCGGAGCACCCGGAGGAAACCCACGTCAACACGTGATTTCACAAAAATGACAGTAGGAGCCGAGTGATATGACACGATTAATAAACGTGCTATAAAACTAATATTCAGCAGTCTACATGTGTTTGTTGCCTCATTACAAACATACACATTTCACAATATACAAAGTAAATTAATAAAAGATGCAATTAAACAGAGTGTACAGCTCTTCGGGGTGGCACTGAATACATTTTAATCTGTATATCCTGCATTTTGCATCCTAATGAGTTGTGAACAAACGTCTGGTGAATTGGTGGCTGTCCATCGAAAACAATCTGTAAATACATGGTGTGACTGGCTTTAGCCCCTTGTCCTTGGCTTAGGGTGCTTTCACATCTGTAGTTCGCTTCATTTGGTCCGGACCAAGGGCAGTAATTGATGCATTGTTGCATTTTCTGCCGTCTTTGGGTCGTTTTCAAATTACACAGCCAGTTGAAAAGAACCAAAATGCAGTCATCTGACAAAATCCACATCTCTCATTGGCCAGATGTTGTTGAACATATTTCCTAAACTGCTTATTGATTGGTCAGAAAGAGACCACCTCTTCAAGCAGGTCTCGGTACGCTTATTTGGTTCGGTTTTGGTGCGCACTCGAGTACGATTGCTGCATTCACACCTGCCCAAACGAACCGCACCAAAAGGGGAAACGAACTCTAGTGCGATTCAATCAAACTAAATAAGGCAGGTGTGAAAGCACCCTTAATTAGTACAAAGACTATAAATTACACTCGACGTGTCACTCGTAAAGTATTGAACGGGGAAAATTGTAACAGTCAATATGGCAATTAAAGTCCCACCTACAAGTACAGGAGCCAGTTATTGATCTCTATAGACTGACGGAGAAGTTCGGACCAGACCAAACAACAAACGCACTGTTTTTTAAACAGTGAAACAAGGTGAAAAAGTGAAACGTTTTTCAGCATTTATTTGCAATATAATTCTTTCATTGCATTATAATTGTCACTTTTAATCAGTTTAATGCATCTTTGCTTTTTCTGAAACAGACCCCAAACTTTTGTATGGTAGTGTGTATCTAAAATTATAAACCTTCTTCCTTAATTTAATTAAAAAAAAAATTACAGACTGATACTTACTAATTGAACAGTTTTAGAGTGACATAGTTTATTGCATCTATGAATAAATAATCAACATGCTATTGATATTTGCTAAAAATGCTCTTGCATAACTATTTTATGTTGATTTTATGTAAGTAAGCATAAGTTAGGCGACGCAGTGGCGCAGTAGGCAGTGCTGTCGCCTCACAGCAAGAAGGTCGCTGGGTCGCTGGTTCGATCCTCGGCTCAGTTGGCGTTTCTGTGTGGAGTTTGCATGTTCTCCCTGCCTTCGCGTGGGTTTCCTCCGGGTGCTCCGGTTTCCCCCACAGTCCAAACACATGCAGTACAGGTGAATTGGGTTGGCTAAATTGTTCATAGTGTATGAGTGTGTGTGTAAATGTGTGTGGATGTTTCCCAGAGATGGGTTGCGGCTGGAAGGGTTTGACAGGACAGGAGCAACCGTGTCTGTTTGACGTTTCATACAGAAAGAAATTAGTTTATTATCAGCGTTGGGAGAATTTGCTAATTCCCTTTAAACCCAGGTGAGCAAACATGTACATGTTCTACCCCATTAAAGACTTCTTTCTCCTTATGTAGTTAATAACAAAAGATATACGACGTGTTTTTGGCTGTGAGACGTAGTTTGGACGAAGTTGTTGGCGATTCTTCCTATAGTAAAGTCATGCAATGTGAAAGTCCCTGTCGACGGTCCATCTTGCAGTGTGAACAAAGCAGCGACGAAATGCTAGCCCAGATAGTCATGCAGTGTGAAAACATCTGTGACACGACGACTTTGAAAATCATGCAGTCTGAACTGTGCATAAGCCGACAAGA